ATCATGCAGTCACACATTATCCAGTTTGCTTGTGCATTTTGATGCTTGTTTTTTTAGCCTGTATTCACGTAGCTTCATTTAACCTACCTTATTCCGTTGTTTAAACCTATATAACCCTCCTAAGACTATTTCCATAAATCCTGGGAGCTGTGATAGCCTGAAGTATGTAGAGTATAAGAGATTCCCTTGTTTGAACTTTTGAAGCACTTTTAAAGTTCCAAACCTATGTTATACTAAACCCAACACTTTATTTCCTTGATATATAATACTACCGCAAACCCGTTTTACAATTAATCCATGGCCTTTACACCTTACTCCTTGAATTAATACCTTTACTTCGTTGATAGGCTATATAATATTACCGCAAACAGTTTTTACCATTTAATCCTTCGCTTTTACACCTTAATTCCTTGGATTAATACCTTTACTTCCTTGATAAATAATATTACCGCAAACCGTTTTACCATTAATCCTTGGCTTTTACACCTTAATTCCTTGAAATAATACCTTTAATTCCTTGATATATAATTTAACTGCAAACCGTTTTTACCATTAATCTTTTACACAATATTATAGTAAACCACTATTTAAATGATCCTTGGCTTTCACCCTTTATCTTTTGGATAACCATCTTATATATCCTTGATATAAAATACCGTAAACCGTTATTACCATTAATCCTTGTTTTAACACTATTAATTCTTGGCTTAACACCATTAATCCTTGGCTTAACACCATTAATCCTTGGCTTAACACCATTAATCCTTGGCTTAACACCATTAATCCTTGGCTTAACACCATTAATCCTTGGCTTAACACCATTAATCCTTGGCTTAACACCATTAATCCTTGGCTTTTACACCTTAATTCCCTGGGTTAATACCGTATTATATCCTTGATATAAATTACCATAAACCGTCATTACCAATAATCTTTGGTTACCACCTGTTAAGGTACATGAAATGGCCTTACTTGATGTAAAGTGTAGGTCACTTACAATAAGAGTGGTTTTGAGACGGAGTGTAGCAAGAAGTGAAGTCGAATAAAAATGTTTATTTATTGGAAGTTTAAACTAAAAGTTTCAATCATATTCTCTCAAGTTTGCAACATTTTAAACCTAGTTTTCAAAATAATTGCGTTTAGACCCAATTATTTTATCATTTTGTAAAAAACTCTGTGTGATGGTTATGAATTGTTTTGTTGTTGAACAGTTCTATCCAATATACTGAGTACCTATTTTTTTATCCATCGCAATATTTTGAAACATAACGTAACATGAAAATAAAGTTTTATGGTTGTTAAAAACTACCAGTGTTTTTCGAGAAGTACGCAATGTATACTTATTATTCAAAGTTATATCTTTTGCTAGTTGGAAAATATCAATTTATATCTTACAGCACATGGATTAAACTGGGTATGTGCTCGTAAGCTTAATTTCCGGACGGGAAATGACTTTTATTTATAACATTTCAAGACATGATATCCCTGCTTTCTAGATAAGACTTCAAACTGTATAAGAAATTTTAATTACTATTAACCATGCTGCCTCGTTTGTTAATGTAAATCGAATAATCCCTTATAATAATAATATACATGTTTTATGAGTACGTTTTGCGATCAAATATCTTCAAAGATTGCATACTTAAATCATATTTTAAACACTCTTTACTTAGATTGTATAAATATTTTAAATTATTGAATGTATAGAACAAGCAAGTCTAAGCAAGGAAATACTTGATAAGAAAGTACATGATAAAGTTATACTAATTTTATTTTTATGAACTTATCTTTTCTCCTACCTCGTTCAAATCCTTCACCTAATTTAACCAATAATTAAATGAAACTTCTGTAGCAATAAAATATAACTCATGTAGCTTTCAGAACAGATATTATTACGCAGATAACGAAAACATTTATTGGATATAGATTTGGTAAAAATGACTATTTATCCATTTTATGAGACAGTAAACTAATTTAAAGAACCAAATGGATACACGATCTAAAAGTATCCTAATTAAAGTAGAAGCTTTAGACAGTAATCCTTGGACATAAAGTCAAAGTTTGTTATTACAAACCAAGTTTAGTTAGCGAAATCACGCAAGCAAACGTCGAACTGTGGTTTACATTTTTCCCTGAAACTCCTTTTACAAGACTGATACATCTTAAAGTAATCACTAAACTATCAACTACATTGATTATGACTTTGCATTTTGGTAAAACCGTGTAATAAAAGACATAGCTCTAATTTTACATTACACCAATGAAAATTTAATACTTAATACTGCCAAAAACCTGTAGCTGTAAGCGCAATTATCATTACAGCCATCTGATGTATCTTTATATACTATATGTTAGTATGGTTTATCTATGGCCTATGCCTCCATGGAATTATTACTTTACAAGTCGTTGTATTGTGATGTCAGAAACGGAAGTCTAATCCTAATGGTTAATAATAAAGATGTCGATCGTTACTCTCACATGTGTCTTATTTCACCATCATGTAGAGCTTAAAACCCAATTTCGTTTGTTGAGGCATTGTTGTACAATTAGAGGTTACGGGGAAGATCCCAAACAAACTGTACGTTTGAAGTCAACATTTTACTTTTATAGATATAAAGAAAACTGTTGTAGTTTGCTTGTTGATGAACATATTTTGATAAAATTTGGCGAATATATTTAATTCATCATATAAGTTACTATTAACATAAAACAAATGCTTTTCCCTTCCCCATCGCAGCAAACCAAGTACTCATTAAATGTAACCCTATTAAATTGGGGAATACATATGACTTGTTTATGGAAATATTTGATTTCAAATCCAATCAGGCAAATTGAAATTCACTTAGTCTGGAGGTTCGCTGATCGAGGTTGTTTGCATTTCTGTCTCATTAAAATAGAAGAAGAATTTTACCATAAACAAAAATACACGAAGGGTGTCTAGGTCATTCTTGTATTAAAAAATAGAGCTTGCAAAAAATTCTACTTAACTCCACTTGTGTAGTAATTTATTATAGTCATTACCTAGAATCCAAGCCTAATTAATTAGTGCCCCCCACTATGTTCCCCTAAACATTTTACTAAATCAGCATTTTAAAAACGAAATCTTCGCTCTTTTATCACATTCTTTAGAATCAACTTGTTTATATTATACATCGATTTAGTGTCACACCTATAATTGTTAGACATGCAATCTCATACTCCGGTTACAGTTACACTGTCCTAAGACACTAAACTCTAGCACCGGGGTCGATAAAATCTCTAGGGCACTACATTCACATAGATAAAATGTATTGGTGATTTGGCCGGATTTGAGCTCTACCACTAACCCAGCTCACTCCATTACACTGAACTTATAAAGTATGTAAAAGTATATGTTGTAACTAAACAGCTGCCTTCAACTGATGCAGAAAGAGTGGTCGCTCAAGCTTTCCCGTTCTTATCTGTATGTGCGATTGCGAAACACTATTTGAATAATGCATAACTTACTCCAAGCACTCCTTTATAAGGTAACTTTAATCTTGTTAGGTGACGTGCACAAATATTCAATCCATAAAGAATAATACAAAACTAAATAAACAACAAAAGTATTAAATAATTTATTTAATATGCCTTGCACAAATAAGTTTCAATAATTTCAGATATTGAACATGAACATGCTATTTGAAAATATATCATACTTCCTGTCCTCAACTTCTCACAATATTTTTTTTTACTCGGCAAGCGTCTGGACTGTCTAGATCATACCCTAGGGCTGTAATACAATGCAAGTTAAATCATGACGGGTTTTACGTGCAAGATAATGCGTCAAAGTCGTTGATTGACAATCAACCAGCTATTAGACTCGGAATATGATGTCATAGGTGGTAGACTGTTAAAACTAACAAGAACAAAAGCCTCTTTGGATCTGGTTCCTAGCCACATCAAGCAACGATTTAACAGTTTTAGCTTACCTACGTCACCAGATTGTATTATTATCACTCTACCGTATGAAACAATGACATTGTTTGAGTCTTGGATCATGACAATTTATCCTTTGTACGGTTAGTAAGATTTATTTAACCTGAAATCAAAATAAAAACTGCAATTGAGCATGTTTGTAAACCAGGAACTTTTGGGGGTTTTATATCAGTCACAAAACCCCATATTGTATCCCATGAAAACCATGTAGACCTGATTCAGATAGGATTAGAGACATAGTCACAGAAATCTCTAACCAAGCAGAACATTCTTTATAATTTACAGAAAACTTTGGATATATACATATAATTTTTTTTAAGAGGTTGGCGGCCTCTTTCAACCTTGTATTTGCCCGTCCACATAGACTAACTGTCCATGCGGGGAACGTATCCAGCAAAGCAAGGGGTGAGCCGGTACAGTACAAAGGTGAAATGTACTGATAAAATGTTTTCGGCAGTGACCAGGACCACTGCATCCATGACATCGCTGATTGGGCCCGAAGTCCGTGACGCTACCGACTAAGCCACCGACTCACTAACCTCCCAGTTATTCAGGTTCCCCAGTTAAATTTTCTATCAATAATAGAACGAATTACTTAAACTAGGGCTAGATTGTCTAGATTTAGAATATTTCTTACGGCAAAAAGTCGTGTGATTTTTCATGGAGACATAAAGAGGGTTTCAATATTTTGATAGCAACACAAAAGATTGGCTTAATCGGGAAAGCCAGAGCAGACAGATCAGCGTGGCAGAATAAGCGGCGTGCCAAACAAAGTAGCAGACAGAGACAAGACAAAAGACAGAGCAGCGTGAAAGACAAATTAGCAGACAGAGCAACAGACAGAGCCACGTGACAGTCAAAGTAGCAGACAGAGCAACAGACTAGGCAGCGTGGCAGACAAGACAACAGACAGTACAGCGCGGCAAGTAGGGAAGGCAGCGTTAGGTGGGGGAGGTGGCGGGCGGCCAGATCATGGAGGGTGGGCCAGTGCGCAGGTGGCTGCTGCCGCCACCAATCGATGTGGAGTCGTCAGCATCGATTGCCGACACTATGCGTGCTGAGTGCGTGAGACCCGCTGATCCACGTGGTGTCAGCGCCCCTACAGAGCTCAGCGAACTCGACCTTGTAGATAGTCATGGTTAGTAACCTTTATATTATGTCTGTAGCAGACGCTGTACGTGTGTGACCATCTAAACTTACCTCAATCGGATTTAAACGCTTCTGTAGCTCAAACTATATAAAACATTAATATAGATTACAGGGTACCTTTAGGGGCTAGGGTAAGAAATGTGGAATAGTTTTGCTACTTGTATCGAAATATCACAACTATTTACTATTGAAGATATTTAATTTGAACGTCAAAACAAATTGTGCTTTTAAAAAATCTAACCAAATGATTAAAAAAAGTACTCTTACAAAAATATTCTGACTTTGTAGTGTTGTTCCCCTGCCCTGTACACCCTCATCCTCCCTCTCACCACAAGAACCACTCCTGCCACTTGTTCTGAGAGCAAAAGTGGTGCCTAACGATAAGACAACATCTAGATAACCTCTCAACAGTGATGAAAGAGTATTTACTTCTTTGGGGTTTTGTTGCAGTTTTGTGGGTTTTTGACATGTTGAGTTGTTCTTAATTTTCCGTACACTTATAATCTTCAATCACACAAATCGAGTTAATGAGCGTGTTTTTATAAAAAATAAACAATACATGTTTTCATACAAAAACTGTATATTATTACTTTACACACTAAAACTAAATGATGCCGTTACATTATGATGAGTAGTTTCTAATATTTTTCTCCAATATTTCGATGAGGCTAGTTGTTAAATGGTGTTTTAGAGATAATTAAAAAAACCTTTGATCATTGAAAGATTATATGCATATACTGTATTATATTCCATGTTCATGAGTAAACATACATAGAAGCACTCATTCCTCATAATAGACACGATAAAGAGTAGCATGATATCATTATTTTATAAAATTAATTCTTATGCATATCGTTTGGGAAAACACTTGTAATTACAATCGATTGTTCAAGCTACAATTCCAAGTCGACTTGTGGTTTTTAGCTGTTGTTTTTCCCCTAAGGGAACCTGAGGAAACTGTTGGTTTCAAACAACATTTTCAGTGGAAACCGCTAAAAGACAATGGAAATGCGGGGTTATGGTTTTATAACTGTTGATAAATATATGGTGCATTAGTTTAGTCTATTAGTATAAATATAAAACTACTCATTTTTAAGGGCGAGTTTACATAATACTTGTAATAAACTTGTAGCCTGTGATAATAAAAAAGTAATATTTTTAAATCATAAACACCTTACTCAAGTCAGGTACCCAAGTACCTTTCTCCTTACACCTTTCTCATACACCTTTACCCCTTCATACACCTCCTTACACCTTTCTCATATAAATGTCCTCAACTTATTCGCTGTAGGCAAATATGGAACCCATACATGTAAAATGCTGTGGGTAAAATTATGAGATTATTTTTAAACAGTAATGACGTGGTGACAAAATGACAATAAATAATCACTGCTGTGCCAGTCCTACCAATTCAGCAACTTCATAAAGGTCTATATTATATTTTGGCAATTTTTCATAAAACTTTTACCTGCCTTACTAAAAAAAGAACAAAACAAACCCAATTTTTTGAAGAAACTAAAATCATTCTTAATTAATCTGGCTCCCTATAGTATAGATGAGTTTCTAAATCAAAAATGAATTAGCTATCCATTCCAAAATAATTGCCAAATTGTATGGTTAAGTCTTTTAGATATGACCGACTTTGTATGCTTTGACACTATTCATGTATGTAAAATGAATAAAGTGAATAAATATAATTTGATTTATTTAAACATGTTCTACTATAACCTATTTTTAGCCAGTCATGTCATAGGATAAAGTCTTTAAAGGTCCAAAATTGCCTATTCATCCTGCCCCATTTGGTAGTATAAACGTGGTTATCAACAATGCTTAGCTGATTTTGTGGTTACTATGGTGGGACGAAGCCTGAGCTATACACCTGTATGGTTGACATTCTCTGTATCAAACATTTGACAGCATACATCTAGGTAAATAATCGCACCTGTCACAAAATGTATGTTTTTGTTTTTGAAAACGACAGTATTTATTTTGATTCAAAGTCTACCATAGCTTATGATTTGTATTTTTAATTGCCTTATCTGTTATATTATGTAATGATTGTTGGCTTAAAGTAAGGCATCAAACGTTTTATAAATATTTATTTATTTATTTACATATTTATTTATAAGTATAACAAACGGCCGTGCAGCTTTTCCTGATACAAGCCACACGAGATGAAAACCCTAAAATGTTTCAATAAATGAATATTCGACGGTCATTTAAGCTACTTTTTGTGTAGGAATCTATTTTAGCTTATTGGGTTTTAAAATAAAAATTGCCATTTAATTAACTTTTATACAGTCTTAGGTCGGGGAATCCTGCCAAAGATCTCTCACAATGTAATGAAATCCCTTTATCGCAGAATGGATTGGATTGAAATGTAATACTGTATATTTAACTTTTGAAAAATATTTATTCCTATTTCTTAAACCTTTTACTACCTTTCACCTACCTTTTTTTATTACCTTTCAGCGTATTTTTATTGGTGACATTGGTATTACATGTATTTTGAGCGTTTTTCTGCTGAAAATGAATTTTTTAATCTGATAATCTACAATGTTTAGGAAAAGGTGGTGGCAAGATGAATAGTCCTGTATCGCTCATTAAACTTAAATTTGTACATTCTTCTGTTTTAAAATCATAAACAAGTGGGTTGGACAATGGGTCGAGATCTCTCAAACCACACCTAGTTTTGGAAACCCTAATCGTGAACGTTTTTGTAGATGACAGGCGTTACTAATTTTTGGTGGCCAGCAGTGGACAAATTTTTGCATCAATTTGAGCGAACAAAGTTAACCATTAGATTTTGTTTTCCCTTGATTTTCAGATTGTGTTGGTTTCATCTGGTTGGAAAGTCGGTATTCTTCTATATAAGTTAGGCTCAGAAGAATGTTCTGAAGATTGCTAGCCTTGAGATCATGGTACTGTCATCAGTGGTGCCAACCTACTCTTTAATCAATTACAATAATCACATCCAGTTGATCAATAACTCAAGCATCTAACAAGCCATTGGCCATACCTATGTGGGAGACAGAAGAAGGTGAAAATGTAAATGGACTTGAACAAATCACTAAAATCGAGATTTAGATTGGTTATTCCTTAATACACAACTCTTTGTCTGAGTTATTTTAGTGTGTGCATTGAACAGACAATGGCAGCAGTTTCTAGTCTTCAACCAATATTTGGGTCTTGGAGTACTGGAAATCGAACCCTAAATCAATCTATGTATGACATTTTTCTAGTCTTTGTTAACACATGAACAGAAAAACAGCACTCAGATGACTCTTCAAGTATGCCTAATATCAATGTTTACAAAGATCCCTCAATTATACAATTATTGCCCTTTCTTTTCATATGTTAAACAGGTGTGTGTCTTTTAACACACCAATATATTTATGGATTGTAAAATTACTATCAAAGATATGACATTTATTAATCAAAACTTTATCTAGATCAATCAGAAAACCAACTTTCTGAATTAGCATGAAGATTCTTTGTTTGAAAACCGATTTGTAAAGTACACTTGCGTATAAGCAATCACATTGAGTTGTTAACCAGATTCATAGCTAATACAGCTAAATTATTTTATATCAATGTCAAGTTTATAACTAAGAAGCTTTTCAGATTTAAAACTTATGTTAACCAGTTAAGTACCGAAATAATAGTTGTATATTCTGGTACTTAAATCATATGGTTACTTATATGCTTAACTTTGTGCTAATTAGTGTAGGATTTTTTCATGGAAGCATCTTAGTAATAATTAAGACTACGATTAGTTGGGAAACATAACGTTTTTTTCATATTTTTATGGAAAGATCCATATAATTAAAATAATCAAACACTACAAATAATATAAACATGGCTAATATCCAGCATTCTCAAATTAGTATACCTAGCACTGTACCTTTACAGACCAACAACGTGAGGCTTTGGTCCCCGAGGTCCTGGGTTCAAATCCCACCTGGTATCAATTTACCTGGGATAGCTATGCGATAGTGTCACGACCCTCCATGCCTATATTGAAGTTATTTAATACGACCCCACTTGGACATAGCACCTTAAAACGTACAAAAAGGACATAAACATTACACTTTTAAACCTAATAGAAAACCTAAAATAACGGAAACCAAAACTAAAGCTTAACAAAGTTGATAGATTTGTGGGCAAGAGCGTCAAATTCAATGCCGTAACAAATGACCTGTAACAACAATGTATGACTTATACAATCTATAATCCAGCAGATTTAACGATACCGCATCACCAATCCCACTGAATTCAACGGATTTTGCAACGCAAACAAAGATTCGATGTCCCGTATTTTCTCTTTTTGTTTGCCATTTGACATCCTTTGTTCTAACTAAACTTTATTCTTTATTCACTCCCTGTTTTCATTAACAGTTTATTTTACGATGTTTACATTGTTCGTTCACAAGATACGTGTTCTAAGAAATACTCAAAGATGTTAAAGGTCGTGCTTTACAAATTAAATTCATTATTTGATCAGAAGTCCGATATTGTTGATAGCTTGATTGACATGACAATGACTTTAATTAGTTCTGTAGCAGTCTGATCGACAGGACATTGTATCAGTTGATTGAATCGTAGTTATATCACGTAAATAATGTACGTCGAATGGGGTTCACATAACGTTCTGCCTAATTTTACATTTACTCTATTACATTGTACGTATTTTACCTAGTGGTAAATTTCATCACTTTGGCCTAAACTACTCTTTAATTTTGGATACAAGCTTAGTTCAGAAAATAAGTTAAATAAAAAATGCACTTTTGGTCCGTGTGATGAACCATTCTTTTCTTACTCAAAACGGTTGGCTCACTTCTTGTTTTGCCATTATAAACTATATGCGCTTACCGTTACTGTATTTAAGTTTAAAATATGTTACTCCACCAGCAGTATAATTAATTCATTCATATTGAACTATCGATATTTTTTGACATTTCAATGGGTCTAAATATTGATAAAAGGGTGTTGAAGTGAACAGTATAACATGACTCGATGTTAAACACTATAATATCTTAATAGAGATACAATTGTAGTTTTGTTAATCAGAAATATTTTCTCCGGTGAAATCAGCAGAGGAATTTTAGAGCTATACAAATGTACAACTTGACACCAGCTGATCCTTTTTCCATAAAGAGAAAAATAAGCCACTTTGGCCGCGTAGGCCGCAACTCATGTTGCTGGTTTTGCTGCAGTACAACGAAATAAATATACTTTCTACTACTCTCTTTCAAACCGGATTTATTTGTTAAGGTTATAAATACAGCAAGAAAAATCAGTTAACATTAATGTAACAGTTAAGTGGAAAATGTAGAATGATGACTGACTCAGTAAAGCGTAAAACAACTTATATTGGAAGCGTCAGCAACACCGCTCCGATGTTCATATTCACAACATCGTCTCTGTATATCTGTCTCAAAACAAAACTATCTCTTTCCAATCCTAATACGATTCCTTGAGTGTATCTGGTTTGATCTTCATACAATGTTTCCACCGGTATCCCTAAATATCTTTTAGTGAAGAACTATTTTATGAATTCGTAAAACACGAATAAGATATTATTTAATTTAAATAATACTATTATTTTTCTAATTTAAAACGCAGCAGTACAGTGACAGGGGTACACACAATTTATATTTGATCTTTTAAATTATAACTTTTTAAAATTTACAAAAAGTTTTCTTGTATATTATTAACATTTTACGGCAAAGAAAAATATTTATTACAATGCGATTGTACGTTATACGTAATGTTTGTATCAGTAATTCGTTTCTATATGCAATTTAGAGGTTTTTGGTATGTCGTGTTTTAGACGTAATCAAAAACTTTTCAGGAAGCTTGTTGTTTATATAACTTTTGTTATAAATTGTCAAAATATTTCTAAATTCTTCGTAACAATATAGTACTTTAATACATTAGGGCCCAGCTTAATGCTAGACCAATGATGGGAAATCAGGATTGTAAACATAAATTTGCATTTATTTATAACTCATGTACTCACATTGCAAAATTAAGCATCACACTGTGTTTCAACATTTTATCACAGAAAAAGTAAATAATTATTGATATCCATCAAGTTGCTCCAAAAAGTACAGAAAGCAAAGCACTAATGAAAAGTGGATTGTTTAAAAAAATATCTGTTGTCTTAGCCAATTCCCTATAGGGAAGTAGCTATTACCGTAGGTGGCATGGTAATACCTAGGCCTGGGACTGATTTACTTTTTTATTTTGATGTCCCCAGAGGCCAAAAACACCATTCGTTTGGATATATATATATGTCCGTGAACACGATAACTTGAGTGATTTCTGTCCGATTTTGAAGAAATTTAGTTTAGTTTAGTTTAGTTTAGCGTTCGGCGGGATAAACATGAATGAGTTCGCGAAAAAAACATGATCGGACCATGGGAACGGGGGTTTACGGAGGGTTTTATAAGGGGAAAATGGGGTTTTCTAATTTTTTATCTTCAAAACACAAAACATCCCAATTTCCCTCTGAACCTTTTTAAAGGGATTAAAAAACAAATAATTTAGTATATCAAAGTGTTTTTTGTACAGTTATTGGTAACAGAGAAAATTCAAAAACATTGTTAATTAAAAATTCCCATGTTATTCTTATGGAGAATTTTGTAAAATGTTTTAGTTTGATTGTTTATGGATATATTTTGATAAAACTTGGCAAATTTATCTTATATTAAGCTATTAATATTTTACAAAAAAAAACGCACTTTATTAGTTTTTTTGTAGCAGCAAACCTAGGTACTCGTTAACCATAATGTTATTTAAATTTAATTCAATTTAATGGAAATTCGCTTAGTCGGCAGGATGTTCGTTAGATTTCTTAGAACATCGTAGTCAATGATAAATGGCTATAGTTAAGAAAAATATGGCCCTATTCTATAATTCGTTGTAGGCCATAATATAGAGGTAAAGCCCCTATATTTAATCTTTGAAGGGGTAAATCTGATAACATGTTATACGAGCTTATAGAGTCTTGATTGTCGTTTTCAGGTGATGCCCGAATCCCTGTCCTGGGTAGGGGACGTGAAGTTCGCAGGGGAAGTTTCTACAAGAGTCAGTTGAAGACATGGATCTAGTCAAGGTCATTCTCCTAGGCGCTCCAGGAGTTGGGAAAACATCCATAGTAAAGGTACTTCTAATGTCAATACTAAACCTCATCAACATTTAAAACAGCCAGCCAATCCACTATATAAATAAATACTAGAATACACAATATAAGAAGGATACTAGAGAAATATAAATAAATTTGATTTCGTAGCACAAACAGTCGAGACGTATCTTTTTTTTCTTCAACCAAAAGTAACAAATGTATTTAATTCTAGTACAAATCATATATTTAATTTAACACAATCTTCTTAGTGGTAATATATTTAATACGGTGTAAACGTAGATTTCTCGTTTTCCTGTCTCTTTTAACCTGCGGCAACGAAAAATTGTTCAGCCATGATGAAATAGTTTGTATTGAGTTTACCTATTTTAAACAAACTGATTGAAAATATACCTTCATCCTTGTCTACTACTTAAGCTTTCACATGTGAGCTTTAAAATTACATTTTGTACAACAAAGTATCAGCATTATACCAAAAAACTTAAATTCTTTGGTTACAGTAACTTAAATTCCCTTATTCATCCTTTACATCACTAGCTATTGAACAAAAGGTTTAATATATTTACGAATCTGTATCTATATTTTTACAGTCTGTAATAGTATATTACGTTACTAGCCCGGTAAGTAGTGTTTTACTGTGCGAGTACGTTAAAGCTTACTCAGTGACGTACGATACATTACATCATAATACACAGAATAATTAGTACATTTTAAACGCATAAAACAATTTATTTAGGACATAACATAAATTATAATATTTTTATATTACAGAAAATAAAATAGGCCGTTGCAGTTAGCTGTTTATTTCATCAGCTGACTAAGTGCACGGTAAAAGTACATAACGTTTCTTTTCCTGGTTTAGGCAACTTTCCAGCCTATCAATACGGATGGAAAAGTTCCTGTTTCTGTGTAGTATGATGTAAAAGTTATTTTGTATTCAATAAATAATGTTACAAAAATCATCAAACGAATGGGCAAACTCAAAAACGATTTCTGGTTTGAAAATTCATTTCAGATGGTTAAAATTTTTTAATAAACTTCACAGTGTTTTTCGTGAAATAAAATAATCACATGAACTATATTTATTTAATTCATTCAATGTTTTTCAAACACGATGGCTGACCATAAATTAAGGTACATTAGGGTCATCATCAAGCTCCCGCCCCATCCAGGGGATCTTGAACAATTGTTAGACCAACGTCGTGTTCCTTACTTCATCTACTACTATTCTAGTCAGTCCCCACCCCTAAGGAACCATTAGTCTCAACATAGTATTAAAATACGTTATGAAAATAAAGAATGAAAGTCTTGAAGCTTTCGTTGATTATAAATTGATAGTTAGGTTTCTGTGATCTCAATTCTCAACCACCATCACCAGTAGACGTGAGTGAATGGAGTAGTTTTTCTTTTGGAAGTAGGATAATTAACTAAGGTGTATAGGGAAGTCAGACATTATTTTTTTTCTATGGTGTAGACCAACCGCTGTCGTTCGGAAGTCTCGTTTAAAGCAGTAACCGAAGTTAGGTAAAATTCGCACCGCTGTGTGACTAAAATAGTAGGATTGTCGAACTTTAAACGTCTCTGTAAGACCATTGAGGACTGGAAGTCTTAAAAACACCGATCTGCAAGCAAGGTTTCAGTCTTGATTGAAACTGCTGAAAAGACTCTGCTGGTCCGTTGTGCAAATATGTACAGCCCTATGGGAACTCCCTAAGCTACTTATACACATTTCGAGTTCTACGTCGAAACGCTTTTCTGCATAAACATCTGTAAACCAGCAACAGTAATAAACGGCGATTGCCCCGCTAGAGAAACCTAACCTAACCTAATCTCAGAACAATATAAACCAAGAAACAATTTAAATAATGGAGAAACCATTTTTACAAATTGTATTTTATTCTTTAATTTACATATAAGTTACTACAGTATTATAAAAACGAAAATACGAGTGAATGTGACGAAAATGTATAAAATGATCTTACAAAGAACGACTTGTCATAAAGGAACTGTTGTTATGTTTATCGTATATCGAGTGTTGTGAAAATGATTGCTGGAATGTTTCTTTATCTCGCCTCACAGAATCCTTTTACAGACAGAATAAAATTAGAATCATCATTCGTTGCATATTTCGTTCATACTGTACATCTGTTACTGACTTTTCCTTTCAATGTTACATACTGTATAATTACTACAAGAGTACTTTTATGTTTAGGCTAGTAAATGTTACAATAGTAAATTAAAATCGCGTAATGCAAAATTAAGTACCTATTCGTCTTAACTATTATTTTAGGGCTCTCTTGCAGCTACAAATTTTCCTCCCATGGGTTACAAAAACCATAATTCGAAGTTTCTTACATATAATCTTATTGAATAAAATTTCTTTTAAATGTATTAATTAAATGAATGTGAAAGGAAGACCTTTTTAAAAAATGTCCATTTTATGTCGTGTTTTATGTCGTCTTAACTATTATTTTAGGGCTCTCTTGCAGCTACACATTTTCCTCCCATGGGTTACAAAAACCCTAATTTGAAGTTTCTTACATATAATCTTATTGAATAAAATGTCGTTTAAATGTATTAATTTAATGAATGTGAAAGGAAAACCTGTACTTTACTGTACTTTTGCTAAGATAAAGAAAATAATAAAATTATCTTTTCATGGACCAAAGCTCCAGTACAATTCTAGGAAAACAATACTAAACGTAAATAATAATTTGGAGAAATAGCCTCTGGATTGTTATTAAACATTGTTATAATCTAGGGCTTGCCTTACGATCCAATTGATTTATTGTGGAGACCTAGGTTTCTACGCCAGAGCGTTATCGTCAGTTCTAGGCTAAGCTAAACTTTGTGTTTTTCATCTCTTACTTGAGATATTTTTGGTTAGGATTGAAAAGATCATGGCCATGCATCTAAGTCCTCCAATATGTCTATGTCTTTGTAAACATTATTTATGTATATTCAGTGTTTGTATTTGTAAAAATTCTAACCAACCGACAATATCTCAAGTAAGAGATGAAAAACAAAACGTTTAGCTTAGCCTATGACTTACGATAACGCTCCGGCGTTATCTTTTACCTTTTATTTATTTTATTTACCTCTTACGTTATCTTTTACCTAGGTCTCCACAATAAATCAATTGGATCGTAGGGTAAGCCTTAGATTATAACAATGTAAATAATAAAACAATGAAAAATACTAGTAAACCTTAACTATTTATGTCGAAAGATTTCAGCTCCACATATCCATATATTCATAAAATGTAAAATATCATTCAAATTATGCATGAGTTGGCTGTAAAAGTGTGACAGATTCCCTTAGCGAGAAAGCATCTATATAGCCAATTACGTTTACACTGCAAGAGCTGTAATGGTTTACAGACAGTAAAAGATTTAGCGTCGGTTGAAAGTTGAGTCAGTGTGAAATAAAATATGTTTACGATATTGAATCAGATTGCTGAGATTGTAACTTGGATTTACGAGAATCGCACTCGTCCGATTTTACAGTCCAGTAAATTAAATTTACGTTGAAAATTATACCACCATGTTTTACACCATGTTTTACTGTATATTTACGGATTTTGTAAATAATGTTAATACATATTAAATTCAATTTCATTTGGTTGTTCTCTGAATTTTAAATGTAGGCTACTTAACTGGCTGGTGGTTGGATAGTTAAATTAAATATGAAACACTGTACAGTATTGTAACAACACAAACCAATATTGTGTGTGAATTTATGTTTAATCTCTAATTAAATTGTCCAACCCCAGTTAAAAATATTTAAAGGAATTCCGTGAACAATTAATGGAAATCGAATTAAGTATTTAATCACGATTACAAATCAAACGGATTATAAAAGATCGGAACGCAGTTAAAAGCTTAGGAGAAAAAATACACAACCTTTAACTCTTGTTAAATTAATTAATCAAACTGGAATGAAATTAATAATCGAGAGAATCCTAGTAACAACTTTTGTATTTAAACATTACTAGTTCTATTATGTTCTGTTTGGCAGTAAATTCTACAATTTAACATGGTTTATAGTACTCAATATAAACCTATTTTACACGGATGTTATTAATTTAGTTACTATAACGAAAATATTACAGAGTTTTAATGAGAATACAAAATTGAACGTTTAATTACATTGATAAACGATTTTATGAAACTAGATTTATGAAAAGTTTAAATTACCTCATTATAAATTCCTTTCAACGCTTAAGAAATATTAAGAAGTTGTCATGTTTCATAAACATGTTTTCCTCCTCCCTTACTTATTTTCATTTTGTCTCAACTACCGGTTACTGTAGTAATATTTGTGTTCTAAAACAGTGAAATATCGTTATTGAAATTGTATGTAGGTAATGTCACATTGATAGCCGAGTGGTCATTACGTCATCAGATTGTGTCTCGAACTCAATGTCTGGCCATTGAACTACCATTTTCGCCGTTGGTTTATTTATGTGGTTGTCATCGAATCAAAACGCTTACCAGTGGGCCATGCCAATGGGCAAGTTCATAATCAGTTATTTGATTTGCTCGTTTATAGTTCTATAGGATTAATGTATTTTTGTTTTGTTTTACGTAAATGTTTAATATTTTCTGGTGTTACAGCAATTCGTCTGGAACGAGTTCTCGGACGAGTACGTGTCCACGGACCGCAAGCACACCTACTACCCCTCGGCCATCATCAACGACCGCCTCTACGAGCTCAAGATCTCCGACCTCCCAGCCATCCCATACTTCCCCGTCAACTCGTTCTACGAGTGGACGGACTTCCGATTCTACGGTCTACGCAGTGCGACCGCGTATATCTTGGTGTTTGACTTATCCAACGTGGATACATTCCAGTACATACGGACATTGAGGGAGCAAATCGCAGAGAGTCGAGACATCAGGAACGTTCCTCTTCTGGTAGTGGGCAACAAGCAAGACTTACTGCTGGCCCCTGGGAACTCCAACACCAACGAGACATCGGGGTCAGTGGGCTCTGCCCCCCTCATGGCAGTCACTGGCAATAACAGCGTGGAGAAGCGAAGAGACATCCAAAACCTGGTTAAGAAACACTGGAAGTGCGGGTACGTCGAGTGCAGTGCGCGGTACAACTGGCGAGTAGTAGCAGTGTTCAAAGAGCTGATGAAGACCGTGGACTCAATAGACGGCGGCGTAGGTCTAGGAGGCCAAGGATACAAGGAGGTCTGCTCCCCCATGATAGACAACATCCATGACGCTCTAGACAGGAACAAGTGTGTCATTTTGTGAAAGTAGGAGTGCCTGGCGGTGCTTCCGCCGACCCGGTGAGATTTGTGTTCTCTACCGTGTTGACAGTCACTCGTATTCCTCGCTGCAGCGATAATCCCAACTCTAGTTTACCCTGCCTTATACACTTGACTGTACCTCTCCGTCAAATACAATACATTGATATAACGGCAAACTAGATGCTTACAGTCCCCCTTATAGGACAAAATGCTCTACTTATCTCAAGCCATGAGTAGCTTTATTCCTTAGCTCATTGTTATCATGTTGGTCCGAAGTGGAAGCTAAGCAGTTACTTTACGTTGGCCGAGATATTTATTGCTTCAAACGTGTCAGAATTAGTATGATATGTTATAAGCAGTGTTGCGACACTTCACAGCAAGGGATAAGTTTTAATTTGAACAATTCTTTATTGCATTTTAAAAGTTAAAAACTAGAGAAATTCTAATCTGCCCTATTACACATGTCCAGCATATGCTATACAGGGTGATTGATATAAGTGTGCCAGCCGTTTTATTCGAAAACCATAAGAGATATCAAAAAAAGTTAAATGGTAAGTGCCTTGGACTTTTTATTTAAAAAAATGTAGTCAAGTCGAAAAAATTATTTTAGCCACCATTTTTCCAATATGGCCGCCAACTTTGATTTTTCTTATGGAACACCCTGTATTTTATGATGTATTCTGGTAGAAAATGTAATTTTAAGACGATTTTATTCTTGTAATTTTTTTCATAAACCTAACCGTTTCAAAGATAATAATGGTTTAAGTTGTGAAATTTTGAATGGTTTTCGAATAAAACAGCTGGCATGCTTGCTTAGGCCTGTATCGAAACTCTTTCTCATGCAAAATTTCAAAACTTAAACCATTATTATCTTGGCGGCCATATTGGAAAAATGGCGGCTAAAATAATTTTTTGACTTGACTACAATTTTTAAAATAAAAAATCCAAGGCACTTACCATTTAACTTTTTTTGATATCTCTTATAGTTTGCGAATAAAACGGCTGGCACACTTATATCAATCACCCTGTATAGTTGTAAATATAGTTGCAGCTATATAGTTTAAATTGATTATGATAGTATTACAATTGTATTTGATCAAATCAATACAACCTAAATATGATAACAATCGAAGATCTCAGCCAGAAACTTACGAGTATTAATAATGATCTGGATATCATTAATTATTAGACAATATGTGGAACAGACAATGTTATAAAAGATAGAAGAAAATATTTCAGCAATTTGTTTTCATAAGGAAATGTTATTTTACAAAGAGATTATAGACTATAGTGACTTATAGTCGATAATAATTGGTTAGTAATAATTTTTAGAATTTTGGCCACCATGAGGAGCACAGAGAAGCGTAATCCACTAACGGCTCAGAAAATGTTTTCCATAATATTTAAATATTATTGTAACTGCCACTGCTATGTAGGCCTACTGTTGGTTTCTGTGTTTTTGATCGACATGCGATCCACAGTTAATAAGAGTTGTTATGATCAATTTATTTTGTTGATTACTACATTTGGCATATTTCAGTTTACCGGAATGTTACATGTTATTTTTGCTCAAACTAACCGTGTGAGATAGAATATTTAGAGCGGATCACTAATAAGTATTTATACATTAAACTTGCAATATTCTTTTTGTTATAGTTTTGTTGAAAGCATCGTAACCATACTAGTGATGACACAAACCTCGTGGTTCATATAACCCAAACCACTAAAACTGACAAAATAAATGTCTTATTATTTTTTCTCGTGTAAAGCTTTACGTTGAACACTCATGTGTATCTGCCTAAATCTGAAAGCCGGATTATCCTTATTTGAAAATACTTTATGACATAATGATTGTAAAAGTAACCTAATACAAAACAACATACTGGACATTAAACAATGTCAAACATCTGTACGTACCTTATTTGTGTGTAAAAACAGAGTAATAAACTAAGCAATATTCAAATGACCAATATTTATGTGTTAAAAGTCAATATAACGTTTATGTGTTACCAAGTTGCTTTATATATGATCGTTAATTCAATATTTAACTGAATGTAAAGTATCTCACTATATTTATATCTTTATCAAAAATCTCCTTTTAGGAATCAGCTGTTTCTATAATGTTTTGTAAAGTGTATGTTGTCTAAAAACACTATTTTTATTTTTAGGAATGTCTAATTATTGGTTGATTCTTACTTCCCTCGAGCAAAGGTCCTTTGTAAAACTATGTCGTCTTTGACAGTCAAGTATTCAGATTTACTGTAGATTTGATTCGACACAGCAAACCCCCCAGATTGTTTTGGAAGATTTCTTCCATTGGGTTAGTCTAGCAATGTCTACCAACATAGGAATCTCGATTGGCCTAGTTTTCAACATACTGTTGCGGGCTTACAGGTTCTTTACATTAAAAACTTGGCGATTTAATAATATCTATTTATTAACACTAATATTCTTTAAAACAGTAACTACAATAACCTTCACAGAATTTATTACTATTCCTGCCACAACACTGTCACTGCCACAACACTGTCACTGTCACTGTCACTGTCACTGTCACTGTCACTGTCACTGTCACTGTCACTGCCACAACACTGTCACTGTCACTGTCACTGCCACAACACTGTCACTTTCACTGTCACTGTCACTGTCACTGCCACAACACTGTCACTGTCACTGTCACTTTCACTGTCACTGTCACTGTCACTGTCACAGTCACAGTCACTGGTCACTGGTCACTGGCGCGGTCACTGCACAGATCTCTGACTCGACTCGACTCAGACTCGACTTACTAGACTGGCGTGTGAATTTTAACAAATCCTGACCTTTACTTTACTTTAATCGTGACCTTACTTTACCACTGCATGTCTGGACTCATTGATATTGGCTAAGCCAAATATCTAGGTATCGTACAGCATATAACTCCCCTCTTTTCTTTACTTCAACTGTTTCGTATGGAAATGCTCTCCATAGTCCAAGATATTGTACGGTCAGTATATTGTAGCTTTTCTGTAATTTTCTTGATGAACTGGTCGAAAATTGTAGTTGTGGAGAGTAAATATACAGAACATAAGCTTTCTCTTATCATGAATGTCCTGACAAGGTAGGATCTGTTATGACGACAGAAGTTAAGGTTATTCATCGTGTCTTATTTTGAATAAGTATAAAGTTCAAATGTGTAAGATTAAGCAAATCGACAAGTACTAAGCACAAATGTTTAATCGCTAAGACGTTATTGTTGGTGTTTGTGAACTTAAAAATAATCGTGGAGTTTTATAGTTGAACTACTGTTGTTAGATGTATATTAATATCGTTAAGTAACATTCGATATAGGCAAATTAAATATAGCTCTTTTTAACTAAATACTCGATAGAAATTAGAAGTTAATCGCAATATAGCCATACATGTCGTATTGAAGAATCATAGTGTGATTTTATTACGTTTAAAAGAGTTATATTTAATGTTTTAGTTACATTTGGTAGAAAAAAGCTTTAACGTGGTTTTTACAATGATTTTTTGTGTAATTTCAAAGACTTGAACGTTTTTTATAAAGAAAGTCTTCAACCAAAACACCTTTTTAAGAGTACTTTCTTCTGTTTTTTCAAATGATACTTACAATTATTTGAACCAGATGTACAGGTTCGTGTTTCAATTATGTTTTAAGTACAATTATTGAATCTACTATACCACACAGACAATGTTGTATATAGGTGAGTTATCAGTTACACAGTTTTTACAGAGCTGAATGGAAAACTATTATTGTTCACCGTCTCTCTAAGTAATAAACATTTGTCCCCTTAAGAATAATTAACTCTGGCCTAAATTTGGTAATGTGCATACTTCTCGTTGCATCGCAAATAAAATATTCTTCAATGATTTCAAATAATTTTTCTTGTAATACAGCAAACCTTTATTAATAGCTGTAAATAAGTTTATATAATTTTTAACAAATTAATACTGCAAGAGCAATAATATTGTTTTGAAATTTGTATTATTACTATATTGAATACATTTTATAGATCGTTATACAAGTGTTTATCTTTTATTTGCAAATAGTTTCCTGCTTCCTTACTCCTCCATACAACAGTAGCACAAACTATTGCTTAAATTCACCAACTTCTCTGGATTTAATCTAATGGTTTAGGAAGAACCAGTAACCACCAAGTGAGCTAGTTTAATTTTGACACTAACCGTAATCTTTACTTCATCCATTACTAATCTAGCACACTATTCCACTCACACCCATAGTGATAGTTAGTATTGTCATAGTGGCTGAAAACTATGCAAAGAGTATACGGTTACTCGTGTTGCTAATGCAAAATATTTGCTCTTTAAATATCGCTTTATTCAAATTACAAAGAAACATTTTGAAAGTCACATGAACGTCATGCTGTATTACAAAAAGCAAAAGCTTTATAGTCACATCAATACATAAAAACGTTCCTAGTTGTTAGGTTATAGTGGTTTACGCAACGATTGCGAGCCTTGGCTAGTGCCTTAAAAACTTCTACGAGTGTCGTTAACACTATTTAAGCGAGTTGCGTACACTACAATACCCATGACATTGTTTTAACTACTAAATGTCACTACTCATTACTTCTAAGAGAGGTTATGTTTTTGTTTATAACCTCTCATTGGCACTGACAGTGTTGCAACGAAACATTAAACCAAACACTAATTGCACCACTCAACAATTAAATTGGTTTGAACAGCTGATTAGTTGAAATTCAAATCATTACAATTTTACTTCTTCTCTCTCAATTCTTGAACCTCGTTGGTTCGTTACTCGTGTTGTTATGAGTAAAACTATACTGTTATGAAAGTTAACAATTCTGTTATGAGAAAATTTTCAATTCTAAGAACTGAACTGAAACGGCTACTTATAAAAAAAAACTGTCGTAGGTAATCAGTCATGAAAAACTGCCATAGAAGTAAACAGTTTTAGGTATAAAGGTTTATAGGTAAACAGTTTTACCTACGACAGTTTTTTTAAAGTAGCCGTTTTAGTTCAGTTCATAGAATTGAAAGCATTGTTTACTTTCATAACAGCATATTTTTACATAACAACACGGGTAATGGACCAATGAGATTCAAGGATTGAGAGAGAAGAAGTAAAATTGTAATTATTCGAACTTCAACTAATCAGCTGTTTAGGCCAGAGCTGTTCAATTGTTGAGTGGTGCAGTTAGTGTTTGGTTCAATGTTCTGTTGCATCACTGTCAGTGGAAATGAGAGGTTATAAACGAAAACATAACCTCTCTTAGAGGTTATGAGTAGTGATTTTTAGTTATTAAAATACTGTCGTAAGTTAAGTTGAGTAAAGTTGTGTACGCAACTCGCGTAAATAGTGTTTAGCACGGGTCACACTAGGCTGCTCACCAGCCGCTGATGATCAGCGGCTGGCACCAGCACCAGCAAGCAGCGGCTTTTGCACGGGTCACACTAGGCTGCTTGTCAGCCGCTGGCGATCAGCGTCCGTGGGACCACGTAACGAGTTCATAATCG